TAATTCTCATATTATTTGACATGGGTCTTGTTACTGGTGTGGGTAGTGTAATGGATTGTAAGAATAATTATTTTGAATATTGCATTAACAATTATTTGAGAATAACAATGAATTCTTTTTTTTTTTGGAGCTACAAGTCCTACTATTTAACCCATGGCCAGAGGAGAAGATGGATCTATACATTTCCCAAGAAGTAAGTGTATATAATGAACCTGACTGGAATTTTAACTCGGCTGTCTAATTCCTCATTCCAAGCTGCTATCAAGACACCTTGTGATGAGAGAATTGTTACATTGTAGAACAGGCTCCTGAAAGATGGTTCCCTGATCACTACAATCTTAAACCCTTCAAATCCAAGGTCATCCATTATTTATCCTATATAACCTCATAATATACACTTCTTACTTTACCCTTGTACTCCCTTACAACAACCTTATTTAGTAACCCTCTACTTTGAGTGGATCTTGGGCCTTGTGCTGGGTAAACACTAGTATTAAAAAACACTACAAAAAATGGATTCACACCTTTTTTAAAAGAAAGAAAATCAGTATAAAAATGCAAAATAACTTTCTCAGCCAAAATTCAAATTGTTAGTTGATTGTTTTCAACACTGATAACTTATATATCTTATTCCTCTAAACTAAAACACACATCATTAATTGTTGTCCCTAAATAATGAGAGCAACATTTGATTAGAAATGATCCAAGAATCACTCTTTGAGGAGATTTTTGGTTAACATTGCACTAAAGTCATTTTCTTAATTATGACTGTTCAAATAAAACAAGATTTAAAAATGTCCTTCAAATTTAAACCTCTAAATATACTTGAGAAAAAAAAAGTGATCAACCATTACTTTTGTATGCGCATAGTTTTGCTTTATGTACTTGCAAAATCTAAAATACCGCCATGGTATAAATATCTACTACAATTGTGTGGGGAAACAGAATTCTTAATCTCACCAAAATATCTTAATACTGTGTTTTGATTCTTCATTTCCATTTTCTAAGACTCTTCATTTCCATTCTTTATCCTGTATGCTTTCCCACTCTGTCTTAGAAACACACATTTTATATGCGGCTATGCAAGTAGTCTGTGATAAATGCATATAGGTTTGTAAACAGAACCGTAAAATTAAATCTACACACAAAAACACATACATGCATAGGGAAAGAAATATATTTCAATAAATATCAATAAAAACACATACAGAAAATCATTATTCATACATATGTTAACAAACATGTGGAATCTCAAAAGAGAAAAACATACACTTATCTGCATGAATGTCTTTGAATTTGTTTGTATTAATATAGATTCCTACCTTCTAACATAAGTATATTTCAAAATTTGTATCAAGCTGATTGGATTGAAAAAGAAAGTCCTGATATAAACTGTGTAGAAATTATGTGGAAAAAACTGAATCATAAGAAGCCCTCTAAAAAATCTGGCAAATCTCACCAATTTACAAATTTTGCAATAAATATTCAAATTGAAAAACAACTTTATAATGAATGCACTGAATGCAGACTTTTGACTTTTAATTCACTTTTCTTCTTATCTATAATCTACTAATTTATAACAACTCAATGACTTATCATAACAGTAAGTTAGATGATCCAAATACTTTAAAGTGCAACCCAAAAATAGTTTCAATTCAATATTAATATCCTTAAATAGCTTAAGTGATTTTAGAATACATTTAAAAAAGAAAATTTATTCAATGGAAAGTTAGACGTTTCAAATACTGTAAAGTGCAGCTCAAAAATAGTCTTAATTCAATGTTAATATGCTTAACACTGTGTTAGTCATCTCAGATTTCTGAAAATGTATAGTCCCCTGGAATCTGTCTCCCAGGACAACTGATCTACAGTGCAGCTCCAAAATATTCTTAATTCAATATTAATATTCATAAATAGCTTAAATGATTTTTGAATACATTTTAAAAAGATAATTTATATGAATATTTCTATTATTTTTAAGTTCAGAATATTTTATATGAACCACTACTTTACTATATTGCAACATGTGTAAGTAAAAGCTTTTATATATTCGAGAAGTGAAAAAAAAATAGTTTATGATGAAAAATTTATAACATGTACAAATTTTGATTTATGATAAAGCCTGATAATATTCACTCTAATAAAAATCTATTGAAAAGTAATGTGTGTGTGTGTGTGTGTGTGTGTACATTTCCCTCTAAATATGACCTTTTAATTTTCAAATGTAAATGTTGTATTGTTCAAAAATATAAGCTTACCAGGAGGAAGAGGTGCATTTTTCTGAATGAGTACAACAGCGACTTTAGTTCCACGTCCCAGCAAACTGTTTCTGTAAAAAGTAACAAGTAAAATTGCACTTTAATTTTACATATATTGACAACTTTGTAAAAAAAAAAAATATATATATATCTGAAGAGTTTGAACAAAAAATTAAATGAAAAATGACTGGCATTAACCTTTAGTACTCTGAGACTTATTGCAAAGCAAAATATTAATTCTGTTAATGAAAGTTGAATTTAAATTACTTGGCTGTGTAGTCATATCCTTCTATGGCAACACCTAAAACAATCCTGACTGAAATTGAGAGCTAGGCTACTGCAATTTCAAATATACAGAACTAATATATATAAAACACTATATTTTGAGGGGTTTCTATATACAGTAAAATGGGAAGTAATATTTATAAATGATACAGAGTGCTAAATGTTAAAGAATTTAAATTAGTGTCTATGTAAAATTTTATACATAGCAGTGTTTTTTTTGTTGAGGCAGAACCAGGAATAATTTTACACAAGGCAAGGTGGGTACTGCCTGACAATTTGTAATGATTTGAGGCAAGGTTTTTCAAGTTCATATGCTCTTCCTGATGATAAACATAGACACTTACAGTAGTTCAAGTACACAATGTTCTTTATTGAAATACTACCTCTTGTCATACAAAGCTTAAGAGCCTATCCTAGCCTTAATATATATATATATATATATATATATATATATATATATATATATATATAAAATAAATGACAATGTCAGTGTGTCACACTTTTTCAACTTTACTCCTAGAGGCTATAGCCCAACATATCATACCATTTTTGGAATCAGGCCAACTCTGTGAGCAAATTAAAAACATTCCAGGCCAATCTGGATCCACAATCCTGAAATCTTTGGATTCCCAAGTTTCCATTATTTTTTGTACGATAATTTTTATAAGTTGGAAATAAATTTTGGAATAATCAAAATTAATTGCAAAATCCAGTCAAAGTCACCCAAAAAATAAAAGTAATTATTTGTACAGAAAGTAAGGACCCACATATATCAAATTGCCTTTAAATTAAGTGGCGACAGAAAAATAATCATTATTAAGCTTAAATATTAATGCAATACTTAAATGCAGCAATCAATTTTGAGTTCTTCTGTAGTTTATTGTTGCCTACCATATCTACTCCTCCCTACCTATTGAAATGAAAGCCCAATCAAGAGCCCTCCACAGGAGCTAGCTTAAATGCTGTGCAATAGGGTAGCTTTTTAAGCTATATATATATATATATATATATATATATATATATATATATATGTGTGTGTGTGAAAAGTGAATATAAATATAAATAAATATATATATATGTATAATTATTTTATATATTATATCTGCGGTACTTATAGAAAAGCACTCAATATCAATCTATCAACCAAATATATATATATATATATATATATATATATATATATATATATTAGTAAGGTAATGAAGGGTTTGGTAATCCATATGGGTAATTCCAAAGTGGATGTAATCCAGAGAGCTCAATGTAACACAAGACCAAATATTAATTAAATAATTAAGAAAGAAAGAGACAACCTTAAGGTTCCATGACTATAATTTATTTCTGCAGGATATATATATATATATATATATATATATATATATTTTCATATTCAAACAACAACAAATAAAATACAGTTATAAACTTAACATTACATAATTAATACCATAAAGCCACGGACATAAAAACAAACTATTAACTACTAAATAAGAAAAATGAAATGGGTAAGTGATGGAATAAAGCCATATTTTAAATTATTTAAAGAATTATGAAAAAAAAAAAAAAAAGATTCACCTATATTTTGAAAACTTAAGAAAACCCCAGAATATTCACGAAAAATTAGTCTAAAAATAAGTCCTGTCAATGATATTAGAAATAACATTGTTACATTATCATTTATATTCAGAGATGAAAGATAGAAAGAAAGAAAGAAAAGGAATAGTAAGAAAGCATAAGGAAACAAGAAAATGACAAAAAGAAATAACCAACACATTCTACACATGTTCATATATACCCATAAAGAAAAAGAAATAATCAACTGAACACCAATAAAAAGTGCATAAATTATTTTTTTTAACTCAATAGAAAAATTATGAAAATGAAAAAAAAAAAAAAAAACACACACACACACACATGCAAAATCTGTTGATTTTATGATCATAGTTAGTATGTGAATATTAATCAGCATTCAAAGAGCTTTCTAAAGATATGCAACTTGACCATATTGAAAATGTTAGCATATAGTGGCAATGCACAAATCCGCCATTTTGAATTTGTCCCAACTCAGTAAAACCCTTGTAACTCAGGTCACGGTCAAAAGTCCACCAAAAAATTTTGTACATATCTTGCCACAAAGGAGACAAATTTGTTGTCAAATTTAAAAAAAAAAAATTCAACCGTTTTTTTGAGAAATCAAAAGTCAAGTTCACATTATCTTATCTGACCTTTAAACAAAAAAATAAATAGATCACTTTTTAGATCTATCTAAACACTTTAAAATGGTATATAATTTAGCTTTGTATGTGAAAATTTAAAAAAGAAACTGCTTTATTAAATCATCTTGAACCTTTTTTACCTTCTATCAGCATGGCAGATTCTAATCTCCAGTTAGACAAACCTATAGAATATAAACTCCTATATTTTACAGCCAATAAGTGAAGCACAAACAAGTAAGAGACACATACAAATAAAACTCACAATTCAGGAGATACAAAAACTTTACACTTCTGTACAAACACTGCTCCAAAATGAAATAAGTGATTTTTGGAACTTGATTGAATATGACTTGTCATATCCAATGAAGTTTCAGAAACCACAGTTTAACATCAAATGACCTGGAAATAGGTCATGGTTTAGGTTACCTAGTACATTCCCATGCAAAACTCATATAGTCTATTGGTGTTTCTTCCATTTTCTTATTATCGCACCAACTGTCGACTCCTTCTCACCTAGCTGCTTGCCAATCTTATAGCTCATTTCAGTCTTGAACAGGTATACAATTTTGTCCTGGATGTCCTTAAGCCATTCTTTCATCTTGCCCATTGTGGGGAGATTAAATTCTGATTCAATGAAGGATTCTGTGAACTTATGTCTTTTATACAGATAATGAGTACTTGATTAGTAGTAATAATTGAGTAATAGGACTAATCTATATGCTTCCTGATTACATAACCAGTATATGGGACCTGAAATCATTGTTGATTGGTAGGGGGTGAAATATTTTTAGTAACCCTCATTTCAATTTCAAACATTTTCTTGAATTTCATTGGTTGTTAAATATAAAATATGCTTAGAGAAATTTCCATAACAAAACAATCAAATTTTGTGCAAAAGTAGACTCAGTTGACGTAAAAAAAAATCTTTCTCAAATTCATCGCTAATTTAAATGTTTCAAGAAATCCTATTGGCTAAAAAATAAAAAATACATTTGCCCACGGATTTCTCAGAAAAATTTGCAACAGCTATGAAGCCCTGTTGAGCCGATTTGGTCATTAAAAGAACTATAAATAGAAATGGCAAATGCATTTTGGTTGCAATTGAGATTCACACATACGAAAGATATATATGGGAATTATGCATCAGAGAGACGTCAAAGAAACAAACTTCCTTTATGAGAGATTAGAAAATTTTACACAACAAATTTTTTCACTCAGTATCTTTCATAGAAAAATCTTTTGTCTATGTTAAATTCAACTTTTTTTTAATCAAACACAGACAACTTTTTAGACATTGAACATTTCCGAAACAGCAAGGAACTTTCTCTTAAATATTTTTTTGCACACATCATTACAAACAAAGAAATTGTAAATTGTGTATATAAAATTTAATTTGTTGTTTCAAACATGTATTTTTTGTTGTGATTGAATATTGTTACCATTTGACTATTTCTTATAATTTATGTTTGTGGATATTGCATATTTCATTTGCAGCACAATCTTAAATATTCACGCAACCTTCCTAAATCCACTACAATGTGATTTTCTAGAATTTTTTTAATATTCTATCTCTCACTTTCAAGATGAACCTACCCTGAAAATTATAGACTGTTCCCATTTTTGTAAGGTGGCAAACTCAGAAAATCAGCAAAGAATGAAATACTTATTTCCCCCACTGTATTACCGTGATATCATGTTAGCCGGTGATGATTTTCCTACATATAAAGTTGTGGTGAAGTAAGTTTTGTTTCAACACTTCTTGCTTACTGTGTTTTTTAAAAGTACAAAATCAGTCAGCAGCCACATGTTTCATTAGCATGAGCTTCACACACATATACTGGCATACAAATAACTTTGAACTTTGCAGACTCACAACAATTCACTTTGAACACTTGAATTATTTGTCTCTTCATGGCCATAAGGACAATTGAATTTTAATATGTAAATATCTACTGTATAAATATTATTATCATATATAATTTGGTCTTCTTCCTTTTCTGTGATGATCATTTCTTCACGTTGTTTATAATTTTGTATTGTAATTTCTGGGCATGACACTCAGATTTTATTTTTACACTTAAAATCCAGGTAGATTGCATCCATGAACCCTTTTGTGATTGTTCAGTTCACTCATCAGGAGGTTTCGGCACTTGACTGCTGTTTTTTCTCAATTTTCATTATTTTTATACTAAGTTTGATTTAATTAATTTATGCACTAGTTGGAAGCTCTTATTATTTGTGTTAGGTTGATTTGTGTGTGTGTGCATGTGTCAAATGTGCTTATTTCTCTTTTTCATAATTTTTCTTGTCTCAAACTCTCCCCATATTACATTTTGTTTTGGCCAAAGATAATGTAACAATTTAATTTCCAGTATCACAGACAGAATCTTTTTTACTTTTTTAAGGCAATTCGTTTTCTCAAATGTACTGGAGTTTTAAGTTAGAGCTACCCTATCGGGTGGTATTTAAGCTAACTCCTGCAGAAGGCTCTTGATTGGGCCTTCATCCCAATAGGTAGGGAGGAGTAGATGTGATAGGCAACAATAAACTGCATTTAAGTATTGCATTAATATTTAAGCTTACCTTTTAAAAGTTCAATGATAATTCTTCTACTGTCATTTAATTTAAAGACAATTTGCCGCATGTAGGTCCTTACTTTCTGCACAAAGAATTAGTTTTATTTCATGGGCGACTTTCACTGGATTTTGAAATTAATTGCAATTGTTCTCAAATCTATTTCTAAGTTATAAAAATTGTTATTATACAAAAAAAAAAAAAAAAAAATCACATAAAAAAAAATCACCAAAAACAATCACAGTAATGAAAACTTAGGAATCCAAAATTTCAGGATTGTGGATCTGGATCCACAAGGAATTTTTTTAATTTGCCCACAGAGTCGACCTGATTCCAAAATGATATCATATGTTGGGCCTCAAGGAGTAAAATTGAAAAGCTTGACACACTGACATTTGTATTTATTATATATATATGTGTGTGTGTAACTAACATCTGATTAGACCAATTTATAAATAATCCATGCTGCTCATTAACAAAGACTTTTTAAAATGAAAAACTGAAAATTAGTGTGTGAATGTTTCTGTGTTAAGTTCATTCTTAATACATACTACACAAGTCAAGTATTAGTATATATTAAAACTGCTTGAGAAATCATACCTGACAATTTCTACACGAGTTGCACATTCCATTTGTTTCTCTTTCCACATAGGTTCATCCCAGTCCAAGTCAAAAAATATGACAACTACAGCAGGAACCAGGTTTAAGTGTTTATTCATCCATGAAGTCTTTAATATCCCTTTCGGAATATACCACTCGTATGATGTCCGTTGCTGAAATCAAATTAAATGAAGAATATCAGCAACTTTAATAAGCAAATAAAAAACAAATAATTAAACCATATTAGCAAAGATATAGACAGATGCCATATACAACATTCATCAAATATGATTTAAAGGGTCTTGAATTTTGTTGCAACTTTATTGTTGTAAAGACTAAATTTTTCATATGCAAAATTATTGTTTATTTACTTTTGTACTTCATCAATTAATGTCAGCATGAGAATATGTACTTTTGGGAACTTTCTTTGAACATTGATCCTTCTCACAGAAATGTGAAGGAATCTGGCTTTTCCCTACTTGGGTGGGTGTTTATATCACTTCCTGCTGTTTGGTTGACACTTGTGCGCACAGTCTAAGCTCAGCTGGGGTTGAACCCCTTTTTACATGTCAGAACAACTACAGACATCTGTTGTAGCCTAATTCTGTACTCAGAGATTAGGAGATTACCTTTCAGGTAAACCTTGTCCTAGTGTAAGCTCAAGTTCAAAGCTTACTTTGGTATCTCTAAGGGTGAGCTCTCAGCACATATTGTGGCCACCACAGATCAACTCTCCTTAGAACAAAGGTTCCTTATTGACATTAAATTTGATTCACACTTCTAGTATTTCTTGATGTTGATCACATGTTATATTGTAAATAAAATTATACTTAATTCAGAATGAATTACCCACAATGTGTTTATGTGTTTATATGACGATAGAAAAAATACTTGTAGCAATTTTTCAAGATCACAGTATTATCATATTTAATAAGGATTTATTTTATAAACTTTATCTTATTTAATTGATAAAATTTAATAAAATGAATATGCAAATAGCAGTCATCAATAACATTGTAATTAGAAAAAAAAAAAAAAAATTCCTTATGTTAGCTCTCAGAACCAGAGAAAGCCCAATTGCCAATTCCACAAATTGTCAGAATGCAAAAACTGTGTCATCATTATAGTACTAAGTGTTACCCTCCAGCAGGCAATATGCAATGCCTCCTTGGTTCTTTCAGAAGAACACTACTTATATCTTCTACTATGACTATGTTTCTGGAACAACTTGAGAATATCACTGGTCTATCTTCACAGAACTGAATCATATGGATTATTATATGTAGAGTACTGTGAATTAGGAAGCTTCCCACAGTAACCAAACTCCAATCAGGCAGTGTAAATTTCATGACTAAAGCCAAGTTTGCAAAGACCTACAAACAGTTCTACTTAAAGATTAAGTTTGTCAGTGTTCCTAATAGCAGGTTTATTGCATAACTGCACATCACGTAAATTTAATCAACTATATTTAATCTAACCCTATAGATTAAATTAAGTGTTCAGTTTAGAATTCCTTATTGATTATCCAGGCCGACATACATCTGAGGAAGACCAGAGGACACAATAACCAAAAGAGATTGTGATAACACATTTATCATAGCACTTAGAAGCTATATATTTCTACATGTACATAAAAAATCCTAACTTATTTTAAGTTGTTAAAACAGGCCGATCAAAAGAATATCAACATACAAAAAAAAAAAAAAAAAAAAAATCAACAAAACTTTAGGTACATTGACAGAAAATAAAATTGTAACTACTTGAAAAAAAGATAACAATTTTGATCAGAGTACAATATACGCATGCTAGTAAGTAGTAAATATTCTGATAAAATTTTCAAAGTCTCCAGTTATATTGTTGATTGAATGATTTGTTTTTTTTAATGGCTTATCAACCCATTCCAGGTTTTTTTTGTTTAAATCCAGAAAATATTTTTAGGCTGTAGGCATTTAAACAATTTTTTTGAAACAATAAGAATTTAGTGATACAAGTCTTACCTATAGTTGGGAGGAGAAAAGGTAAATTCATACCTTTCTCAAGTGTATTTGCACACAAGTGAATATAATAAAGTCAATGGGAATTGGAACTCTGATCTTTGATTAACAATTCTGAGCTATTATTCATTACATTACCCACAAATCCAAGTTTACAACATCTGGTATTCCCAAGCAGTCACCCATCTAGGTACTGATCAGGCTCAACATTGTTTAACTTCAGTGACCATAGGGAACTGGTGTTCCAACATGATATGGTCAAAGGTCAAGCTATTTTGTGACAATACAATAAATACCAGTGCATTGTCTATCTGATCTTAAGATGGTAATGGATTCTGTAAGAGTCCTCTGCAAGCAGGTGTCATGCCATGGAGATACACAGATGCTCCTTTTGTTCAATGAGAGCCGTTTGAGTGGTGACACTTCTGTGGTACTTCACTGTTGGCAACAATGGTCAAATGAACATTCCTGCACCCATAGAGCAGATTTTGGATAGTCACAGAATTTGCCAAGATGAATGAATTGCAAGGATAGCTATTTATAGTGTCTAAATCACAGATCAGAGTAAATAGCACCCTAAGAATGTCAATATGGACCATTGGAAATAGTTTACTTACAGAACTATAGGTACATGTACCACTAGTTAGATTTTAATTTATACCATTACATCATGCCCATCTCCAGTGGTGTCACCAAGAGGGTCACTTGGAATATTGGATGGCAATCTGTAATGTACAGTAATGAGAACAGGTTCTGCTTTAATGCAAGTGACAATTTTTTGCATGTGAAACAGACACAGAGGAGTAACATCTTCCAATCTCAGCCCCTAGCATCATGGTGTGAGGTGTCATGAGTTACAATATTATATTTGTGAAGAGAATGTTGAACACTGTCATGTATGTCCAAAATATTATTCAATCCATTTGACCACCATTCTTGCAACAAGAAGGCAATGTGCTGTTTCAACAGATTAATACCTGTCCACACAATACTCATGCTACTTTCAAGATATTCTACAATTTTCATGACAGGCACAATCACAAGCACTATTTACCACTGAACATGTAGGAGATGACACATGTTCAGTTAAATTTACAACCCTTGTATTGTATCAACAGGTGCAAGAGGAATAGAATAAAATTATCATGGGATATTTGCTGTTTGTATGAATGTAAGAAAACCAGCCTATCCAAGGATGATATACAATCCATTAATGTGGGGTTTAAATAATGTTGATACATTTCTTATTTTCAAACCAGTGTATATAGTTATTTTCCAAATGTAGCTTAGATGTGGCACAAGGCCGAAAGTATGGGGCACCCAGTGATGATCAAACTCACTACTAAGTCATAATTTTTCTAGCAAGACAAGCTTGCTAACCATTACACCACCTCAAGATGCCCAATGAACAAAAATCTGCAAGATGATTCTATAGTCTGACCACTACTTGGCTGTTCGTAGCACAGCTTAACTTCTAGTGATTTGTACTGCTTTAATACTACAAATCATTAACATGAGACATTAACTTTGTTGTATTAATACTGCAATTTTCAAATGGTAGGAGAATGCCAGCTACTGCCCCCTTAGACAAAATGAGTCATGGTGGATAAAAAAGTTAAGAACCACTGATTTTCATGTATTAATATTAAGTAGGTATTCTCAAGAGTTGATTACAGCTGAGGAAAATGTTTTTATATTCTAAAGTATAGAGAGACAAACATAGATTTCAACCATCATTGGATAATGATCCAAAATGGCTTGAATCAATGTAGAGATATCTTAAACATATGAAGTGGCAAATGTCAAAAAGAAAATGATCTAGTGTCACATGACTCAGACACATACTGAATGACAAAATGAGAAAAGTTTGTGCGTGACATGTTTTGTCCCTTAGGACTTCATTGAACTAGGTTTGTTTAAGTTAGATGCAACTACACATGCGCATGAATGAGACACTAAGAATTTCAAATTTAGAAAAAAAAATTTTTTTTTTTTAATGTGTTTTGGGTATATAACCTCACCTAGATTCCTTTAATTTTTGTTTCCATCATATTTGTTATTAAATATACCACCAAGCTGATGGAAACAAAAAGAAAAAGAAACCAAATGAAACCGGCCAGATTACATACCCATAACACATGAAAAAAAATTGTTTTTCTAAATTTAAAATTTAATGAAAACTTAAGGGATGAAACCCATCACACAAAGTTTTTCCACTTTGTTATACATATTCCCTCCAAAACTGTTCTTGATATATAAAAATTTGTATATTATTACCATTATATATATATATATATATACACACACACACACACACACACAGGGTGCGATGAATAAATTGTCTAAATTACGTAAAAATGAAAATAACATTGACATTTCATTTTTACAGATATATTTACCAAAATTACACAAAAACATCTTGAAATAACTAAAGAGTAAATTTATTCAATAAAATCATCATTGGCTTCAACCATGCCCTCCAGACAAATTCAGAATCTCCTGCAACTCTTCTGGATGGTATGCTTGTTTAAACTGGTGAATGCTACCATAATCCTTACCTTCAGTTCATGTGTTACAAGGAGTTTTGTTGGTCTCTCACACAACTGCGCCGCACCCATAACAATAAATGGAGTTGCAGTCTGGCGAATTAGGTGGCCAGATGTAAGGGGAGATGTGGTCACAGAAATTGTGTGACAACCATGACTGGCTTCTCCTGCTTGTGTGGCATGGTGAAGAGTCCTGTTGCCAGACATAAGGTCTTCCAGCAGCCACCCTCTTGACCCAGAGCAGAACTACCTCCTCAAGGCACTCGATGTAAGCCTCTGTGTTGAGTCTGAGGCTCTGTGGGAAAATAAATGGAGGCATAATGTTGCCATCACTGATCACTCCAAACACCATGATTTTGATTGCATATTTGGTTTTCATCACACTCTGTACATCTTTTTGAGACACAGCAAGCCAATGGTTGTTCTGTGTGTTCACCATCTTATCCTGGCAGAAATTTTTTTCCATCTGAGAACCAAAGTATGTTTGGTCAGTGGGGATGCTTGAGTTTGTTCAAAAACTTCATAGTGTGGTCTTTTCTATTGGCTTGGATTGGGGATAAAAAAAAAAAAAAAAAAAATGGCTCTTTCTCATCTTGTATGAGAAATATCGAATGTCTTTATGCACTACCTACCCGATAAAAAACTCAGACACTCCTGGGTCCCTGCCTGTAGACCTGATTGACTTGGAGGGATCACTGTCAATCATGGCCTGAATATTACCAACAAATTTGGGAGTTCTTTTCTTATCAGAACTATCAGAGTGAATTTTTTGGAAGAATTTAGAGAACACTATTTTCATACTGTTAACTGACAGTAATTGATGTAATTTTCAGTTAACTGTATGAAAATAGTGTTCTCTAAATTCTTCCAGTTGCTAAGAACATTTTGTTTTGTTATTATTAGTTGCTTTGTTTAATAAATTCATTTCGTTTTTGCCTTGAAAAAGTCCACATTGGACGAAACGCATTGGCAACTATTACAGTTTTCCTATTGTCTTTTACATTTATATATAATATAATGTCATTTTATATTCCACTTTCAGATCATGCCAAAGTAGTAAAATTCATGGTTATTACTGTAAAGATTAACTAAGCTTAGTTTACTTTGGCATAATACTAATGGTAATATAAGCAGTAGGTTCCCTTAAGAAGATACTCAATGTTCATTGACTGAGCAACAAATTGTCATAAATCTATTTTCAGAAAAATAGGTCTCTCGAGTTCACTTTTATTGCTCTTTCCAGTATTAATGGGGCTTCCTGACTTTTTGTGTGAAGTAGTGTAAAATGTCAACATCTTGATTATGTCATTATTTTCTCTTTGAGTTATGTATGTTATCCACTTAATCATTGTTGTTGTTGAAAATTTTCATGTGTAGTTCTGTTATTTGGTACAGTTACTGATCAAACTCACTAATAATAGTCAGTGAGACTAATCTGCTACCCAGTGCTTGATGCCTAATATGATAATCATAGGATATAGTAAATAATAAAAAATAATCTTACCTTTGATCTACATTTTGGGTACTCATGATCACCTTCAAAGACTTTGAACTTTAGTGGTACACGATCATGACGTCTGTTGTTGACAAAGGCATCCCAGACAGCCTTGTGAATGGCATTATAGACAACATCCAGTCCTGTCAGTACCACGAGTCCTGTGGGTCGACACAGCAGCTCTTCTGTAAGTTCAGCAGCCCAGGCCATGTTTTACTGAAGATTAAAAAAAAAGAAAAATGGTTTATAGTCATACTCATGCAGAAAGATAGGTAAATAATTCTTAGAATGGAGATATTTAAATATAAGAATCTACTTGAGTAGTAACCCAATGAAGAGAGATAGTTTATGACATTTCTGTTAAACAATTTTAAAAAGAATAGATAACACATGGTTTTGTGTTAACTATAATCAACTGAGTCATTACATTTTTATAAAAACTTGTATCAAAATAGATGAATGCTAGTTGTTATTGGACTGAAATGGATTTTAGAGTTTAGGTATGTCTTTGTTGACCATTGCTAAAGTTAATTATAAAATTCAAAAAATTTTAATTAGGATAACAAACTAGTGGATATGTGTGTTGGTAAGAGTGACAAGATTGTAAGTTAAATCCCTGGATCAATTTATAAAATCTGTATAATTTTGTTCAACAAAAATAAGTAAGAAACAGCAGCACAGAGATAAACCAATTAATACATTTGCCCCATCAGACAAAACTAGATATCTGAAAATGGCTGGAGGGCACACAGCAGAAATCTTCAGGATGTGTGTGTAATCATGACTCTCTACAACTTCCCATCCTTTGTAGCTCTTAGCAGTGTTTGTTTTTGCATTATCACACCCAATCCTTGTTCTGCCATCTATTAACACAAGCTTGTTAGGTATTTTATTGGGAGCTTTCATGTCACTCCTGCCTTCAATATGCTTTGAGTGACAGATTCACCATGCCCATTTCCTCATTATGTGTATTAGAAATTTCAATTGTCTCTTTTATTCCAAGTATAGGAATCCTTTTGCCTCCAATCTCCCTAAAACTTCCTTGTTACTCACATGTTCAGCCCACAGTATTTTCAGCATCCTTCTGTAGAACCACATTTCTGTTGCCTCAAATCTTTTCTTCAACTATGAGAAGATTGCCTCAGAGGATGTGTAGAAGAAATACATTTACCTTCAAAAAGACTGAGGATATGGATATACCAATGCCAGTGGCACCATGCTACAAATAAAAACTGTGGCAAACTCATTTCATTGTTTATAAAAGAAAATGGTTAATGGAATATCCTGCTTGTGTTATCTACATGGTTAATGCAATAACCTGGATGTTTTGGCTATGGATTACCTTTGAATACATATAAAGTCAGTGACAGTGAACAAGGAAGAAGTCAACCAAGGCGGACAAATGGATTTGCTGCTATTTGGATTTGTATGTCTGTGAATTTATGACAGTTTACTACAGAAGATAAACTGATATAACATAACAGTTCAGCATTCTTCTTTTGTTTCTAACAAAATTTTCCAGTACTTTGCTTTAGAAAGGTTAGCTACTCCAGTGAGGCTTTATACTTCAGTGTCACATTCACCTAGCAAGATATTGCCTGAGTCAGTGGGGTGAGCAGGTATTGCTATCAGAGAATACTTGAGCAACTGCAATGATATTGGTACCACCAATTAGATCACTTTGCCCAAAACTGCCCGGAGATATGGACTAGGGCAAAAGACATCAGAGCCAGCTTTTTCCCCCACCCCCAAAAGATCTAGATATGTCATCACCTGTAATAGAGGTGCACATTGATGGAATACAGTGCACAGCATTGATGGACACTAGCTGATCTTGCACACTTATGAGCAGGTCAATTTGTCATCTTTGGAGGAAGAGGGAGGTTAAGGTGCTCACTGTGGACAGGAAGACACTGAGATGTTGTAGAGTTGTCAGAGTTAAGTTAACTGTGAATGGTGTGGACCTGGTTACGGTCAAATTGTTGGTCATAGAAGGAAAACTACTTGATTTCAACCTTCTACTGGGGATGGACAACATCAAAGCATTGGGCAGAGTTCACATTAATTGAACAGGTGAAGTATGCTTCACCATCGATGTACCTGTGTGTGCAGTACTCAAAATTGATGGCAGATTGTGTGTAGATGGCCTTGTGGAAGGGGACAAATTATCAGTCACCACACAACTTGAAGAACAGAATACCAGAGTATTTTGTTCCTAAAATCATTAGGGAATATTATAACTAGGAGTTGCAATTGTGGTAAGATAATGAATGGCTTATACTGTACCTCAAGAAAATGCGGAACCACCATTTCAGAAATCCCTGATATTATCCCAAGACAGAATGTCTTCTGTCTGCGGAAAGCTTGTGGGACATTTTCCTTTGTGTGGTTGGCTTCGGCATTCATCAAATATAGAGTGAATGTGGTTACATCAGATTGTGATGAAAAAAATGATGATCCCCATGTTGGGAGATACCATCATCAGGATATACAAAAGCTTATCAGTACAAAGTACCTGGTACATGAATGTCCAGGAGATCAATATCTGGATGGAGCTTTTTAGCCACTGGGGTCTCATTGGAGTGCTGGTTGTGTCCAGTTAATGATGCACATCATAAGCACATCAACCTAGCTGAATTGGATGCAGTGCTAAAGAGCATTAATCTTGCTCTCCAATGGCAGATAATTGTAGTGAATTTGGTAACTGATTTTGCATGTGTGTGTCAATGGGTTTCTGATGTTGTAACTGGAAAGGCCCAGCTGCACACTAAAGCCACAAACAAGATGCTCATATGACAATGGCTCAACACATTCGTAGAGCTTATTAAAAAGTACAGACTGACTGCCCAATTGGTCAAGTCGGACCACAATCAAGCAAACAAATTGACTAGGGCCCCACAGTGTTGGCTTGATGCCATCAAGAAGCAAAGTGAACCATTGAAGCATTTGTGTACTGCCTCCATAGAAGTGTTAACTCCTAACTAGATAATGGTTATACACCACCAAACTGGTCATCCAGAGGTGAGGAGCACATGATACTTTGTACACTAAACCAGCCCATCCATGTCAAAAAGTGGTTAGGACTGTGATCAAAAAATGTCAAGCATGTCAGTCTATAGAGCCTTACTCTGTACAATGGTAATGTGGTCGGTTAGATGTGAGGGACACCTAGAATAGGCGCATTCAGGCGCAAACATTTTTTCACTGTTATTGACTGTAGTCCCACCAGATTTGCAATCTGGCAACCACTTTCTTTAACAAGACTCTTCGAGCATCATTTGCTAATTCGAGATGATATGTTTTGAGGAAGGTCTGCCAGAGGAGATTCTCACAGACAACTCTGCTTTCAGTATTGGCTAGTCAAGCTGTTTTTAGACAAGTGGAAAGTTCACATTTGGTTGCAATATGCATGTGTCATCGGGGAATGGCATAGCAGAGAGGTGCCATCAAAGCGTGAAGAGGATTGCAGCCTGGAAGTGATGTACTTTAATAGAAAGCAGTGTACTGGCATAATGTGATACCAAAGGACAACCTTTCAAGCATAACTGCACCAGCCTATGCTATATACATGTACTAGGTCCAAATAAAGTGAGTTGTCACCATACCCACATCTATTCATGAGGAGGTATACAGACCATACACAATTAGAAATACTGTCTCGGGTAAAGCCTCCCAATAGCAAATGCACTACAGAGTTTAGAAAGGGGTGCATCACAGGTATAATCAGTAAGTATTCCTGATCGATAAGATGCTGCACCACATAAAAGATCTGCATCTTGTTTTCGGGGCAACTTTGTTGACAAACAGTAACAGCAGCAACGAGACATCTGACAACAAGATGCTGCTCCAGTGCAAACCATGCTCACCCTGATGACCTAATAGAGGGACCATCAAGACTTGCAGCATTTGGTATTCCCAAGAGGTCATCCATCTAGGTACGAACCATCCTTGATATTGCTTAAATTCAGTTATTGTATGGGAACCAATGTTTTAACACTATATGACAATAAGCCTGTGGGTGTTGAAGAAACACAAATGTAGTTGAGTTTGCAATAGGAATTAGCTATCAACTGTAGCAGACAGACATACTTGGAAATTATTACTACACTATTTAAGTATTAGTTCTTTTCTGTACTAAGGAGTTAAATATTTCTGGCAAAAAGAAAAAAAATCTTGCTGATTAATTTTATACTTCTAATTAGGTTGTGTGTTGAAGTACTAAATAAAAACACTATTGTCAGTGGGCAAGAATTAATGTAAATGTTTCTATATTGAAAAAACCGAGTTATGTATAATATTGACGATAATATTTTAATTTTCATCAGTAAAAAATTTCAGCAAGAACCAAAAACGATAAACTTTTTTTTTCTTGAAGAGAGTTTGCCAAAGTTTGTAAATAGCACATTTTACTGAACTTTCTTCAAAACAAATGAAGAAATGAGACAATCTAACTAAATTTGCATTTTACAATCTACTTCTTAAATAAATTATAAAAGGTTAGGAAGGACCCCCCCCCCATCAGTACTAGAAAGAGCAATAACAGCTACTGGACTTGAGAACCTGTTTTTATGACAAGTTGTTTTAAGAGAAAAAAAATTTAAAAGAAAACATTACAAGCTGCTCGGTCAGTGAATGCTGGATGTTTTCCTTGGGAAACGCCATGAAACGGCTAATTAATATTATCATTACGTACACGTTTGACCTCTGTATTCAGATTGACCTCATATTATTTTTTTCCTTCACGGGAGTTCGTCTCCTATGAAGGAAAGATTTTATTTTTATTGAATCAATAATGAGTTAGGTAACTTGAAATATGCTTCCTTGTCTGAAAGCTTAAATATTGAAAATGAAGAATAACACTATGATAGTTAACATTAACAACAAAAACGAATAAATGAGCGATAACAAATTTCTTGGATATAACGAATTCAAAAAGAAATGTATTCAAATTTGTCATGGAAAAAAAAAACTAGCAGAATTAAAAAGCCTTAAAAAAAAAAAAAAATACAAAACATACTCAATCATGGTAAGAAATTTCAAGTTAGTAAAAGAAATTTGAACCATTTTTTTTGACAATATACAACCAACCAAACTTTGAAATAAACGTAAACATGAAATTATTAGGTTTTAAAAATACGGTTTTCTTTTCTCCAACTAAAATGTTTAAAAATATTTCACTTGGGAAAATTAATAAAAGTAAAAATTAAAAAAAAAATTCCGCTAATTTACGTTTGAAATATTTTTAATAAATTAATTCCAATATAGATTCATCTATTTTTTTTTTGTTTGATGCAAGTAGAAAAATGTTAATTATGCAGTTAGTTGAGCGTACAAAAAAATAATTTTCCATAATTCTCTGAGAAAGTGTACTTAAACAAATAAGAAGAAATGTTTATTTACAAGTCACAAGAAGTGATATATGACATCTAGAGAACAGCTTATGGCTAAAAAAGTAAAAAGCAAGTGAAAGTAAAATTAGTTTTTTAAACTCACAAATTGTCGATTTTGGTGATCAAAGTTTATTTATTTATTTATTTTTGTCCAGGTTAAAGTGAATTCTAAATGCAAACACTAAGTGTTACTGTTGTTTAATTTATAATAGAAATACATTGATATTTTTATACGCATTCTATTCAATTCAAACGTGCCTAAGAACTAAAATTTGAAGAAAAAAGAAAAGACTTTATTGATATGCATAATTATAGTCACAAGTGACAGAAAGTTAAAACGGTCGGGTACAATAGTACATATTGTTAATGTTAAAAGTACATTTTACCTCGAATTTTACACTTTTGGATTTTAGGGGGAATATATAAAAAATGTTAGTGTATTCTTTAAATTCGATATTTTTGACTGACATCGCAGGAGGTTTATAAAACAAAGATTTTCGATTATATAAAAATTGAAAAATCAGTAAGTTAACAAAAAGTTAAAAATGGTAATTTAAAGAAGCCATATAAATTAAAGCATTTTTTTCGTAAAGGATTCTTTTCGATTTGCTGATAAAGATAAATGGAAAATGTAGATTACTAAAACGTTGAAAAGAATAAAAAAGACATTTCATTTAAAAACAAAAAGTTTTTAAGTACTGCATATTATTTTTTTAATCACAACAGTACAATACCCAGACATTTCATTGAAATATAAAAAAAAAAAAAAATGTATATCAATTTTCATGTAAAATTTGACATTACACTCATATAATAAGTAAATTGTTTATTATTAATAATCGAAACAGCTGATTATCAATTATAGTTTAATATACAAAAGTTAGAAACAAGCACAGTAATTCATTTGAACGATAAACCATTTAAAATTTTTGGTGGGTGGAACAAAAAAAAAATGAAACGATGTGTTATGATTAATTTTACTGAAAAGAAACTGACTTATTCCTTACCACTTTGTAGATATATCGTTTAAAGTCACTATATATCATTCGGAATGTAGAAAGGATGCATTTCTCCTTTAAAATTGCACGACTTTAGCCAAATATCAGAAATAAAATGAGCGAAGAGTTTCCGTGGATTTCTAGTAAACATCAATAATCTGCCATTGTGAAAGAGGAATTATGGGAAGGATTGTTGAGGAAAGCAAAAACAGGTGACTCCAATAAGGCCTTTCTCTGCTTCATTCAAACCATGCTTTTCGTTTAAAAAATGAAAATAATCTTAATAAAAAATTTAAAAAATAAAAAAAAAATAATTTGTTGTCTGTGTTATATGAGGTGGTGCTGAAAGGTTCTCGGCCCGAATAAAAAGTGAAATTTTTGGAAGTTGATCAGGATGATAACTTTTCAGCACTTTTTTTTTAGTGTGTACAAAATAAAATAGAGGCTGTTTAAGTTTAGTTTGCCACAAACCCACAAGTAATGGGCGCCCAAAAAGAATCAAACTCACAACTCCTCAGTAGTAATTATCAGTTAGACTAGCTCAATAAGTATTACCCCGTGCTGAAGTACTCAAAGGGTAGTAATTTACTAGGCTTAGCTTAGTTTGAAACAAGGTCCAAGTATGTGGCACCCGGTGAGAACCAAACTCACTAATCTGTGGTAGTAGATGTAGTGTTTACAAAGAAAAAAGATTCATATGGATTATAAATAAACTTTTAGGCAATGTACTAAAGGCTCTAATCAGCTCTAAATTGGTTAAGCATCTCACCTTGAAGAGTCTTCTTTCAGATAGACAATATGGCTTTTGCTTCTATGAATTACTTATTAATGTATTAATGGTCATTGCTGAGAGAGTCTATCAAGTTTTAGATAAGAATGGTGAAGATCAGACTGTTGCTTTGGATATCTCAAAGGCATTTGACAGGGTTCAGCATGCTGGTCTTTTTCACAAGTTGAAAGATTATGGTATTTCTGGACAAATCTTTGATCTGATTCAATCTTTCTTATTAAATTGTGAAATGAAAGTTATCTTGAATGGCCAGATATTTTTGCATTAATAAAGGTGTCCCCCAGTCCTCTATTTTTGGACCTACAGTGTTCCTAATTTTCATTAACAACCATCATGATGTCATCATTTCTTAACTCAGTATCTATGCTGATGACACAACTGTTTACTCCTGTCTTAATGCTAAGTCTGACTGGTTCAATAAGATCATATTGACAGCTGATCACAAAAATAACCTACAACCTGTTGTTAACTGGGGCCATGAATAGCTTGTTAATCTTAATATCTACACAATGAAACTGCTTCACTATCCTGGAGGTTAGCATTAACCATACTGATGGAAGGCAAAATAGATTCTCTAATATGATTAAAATCATATTAGAGAATCTATTTTTCCTTCCATCAGTATGGCTAATGCTAACCTCCAGGATAGTGAATCATTGCACCATCACTGGCTAACATTTTCCACTGATATGGAGTGGAAAGATTATATTGAATTAATAGCTAGGTTTACTACTAGCAAAGTTAGTTTATTGTGGCATGCTAGACAATTTTTCTTGCCAAAATTTATCTTATACATTTGTAAGTCTACCAAACATCCATGCATTGAATATTGATGTTACATTTAGTCTCATACTTCTGCTATATATTTAGCAATTCTTAATAAAATACAAAAAAGAATCTGTAATGTTATTCGTCCTAGCCTACCATTTGATTTCAGTTACTTTCCCACTGATGCAACATAGCTTCTCTGTGCCTTTTCTATAAATAACATAGTAATTGTTCTGATGAGCTTTCCTCTTTGGTACCTAGATTTTATAAATTTAAGCTCAGTACTAGATTGGCAGCTAGGTCTCACCATTTTACAGCTGAAATGTTTAGATGTAATTGTACATTCTATACTAACAGTTCCCTCTCTTATACTTGATTGTAGAACTCTCTTCCAGCTTCTTGCTTTCTAATCAATCATTATCTTCTTAATTCCTGTTCTTTTATTGTTCTCTCTCCTTAATAATGTTTTCTTTTTCTCATATTCTTTCACACTCAACAACTCCTTGCATCTTAGTGGCTTTATTGCCTGGCTTGGAGGTGAAATGATTACAAAAATAATAAAAATTTGGTGAAATTCAAATTATAGCAGACACATTATTAGAACATATCAATAATTAATCTGTTTCAGACAAAATAAAAATGTCTTTTCATTGAAAATTATTAAGATACAATATCATGGCTGATTGGATACTAAAATTTAATTAAGCTATCATTATGGAGAAAAATATAAATTACACATCCTGAAAAATATATATAAAACTATTAATCTTCAAAATTTCAGATTTGAAGCATGTATACTGTATATACTTATGTATTTTTATTTTTTAATCATTTCACCCTAAGCAAGGCATTAATACCACTAGTACACAAGTGGTCACAGGGAATTAAAGTGAAAAAGAAGATTGAGAATAGAGAGGATTGAGGAACAAACAAAAAAATGAAGGGGATTCAAGAAAACAGAAGATGGTGATTGATGTTGCATTTAAACTTTTGAAGATTGGGGTTATCAGGGAAACAAAGAAATGGAAGGGAGTTCCACAAGTGGGAAGTGCGAGAAAAGAAACCGTTGGAGTAGAAGTGGCAGTTGCATTTAGCTATTTCAACAATAAAATGGTGGGACCTAGATGCCAATCTAGTAGCATGCTTAAATTCATGTATTTAGGGCACCAGTAAAAAAAAAACAGTTGCCATGAAAATATTTGTAAAAAATACAGGGAAACCATGTCAGTGAGAAGATACTGAAGTTGAGATGCCAGGTCAGGATTGATTACATTACAGATCCCTCTTTGGATTTTGTCAAGAATCTCTAGATATACAGCAGGAGCCTCAGACCAAATATGGCAACAGTATTCAATGCATGGATGAATGGTAGATTTGTAAATGTACAAGAAGGATTTTGACAAAAATTTTCTGGCATGACACAGTGACCCAACTTTCCTTGCAGTAGATGCTGCTATTGATTCAATAGAGCTGCTCTACTTCATGTAAGTGGAAAATGTGAAGCCAAAAGGGCTATAAGCCTTATACAATATATTATACAAGTAGTGTATAAGCTGACTTTGTATATATAATGCAACCCCTGAATTTTTTGGCATGAATTTTAATCCTTCAAAAGAAGTCTAGATAGTGGGGATGATGAAATCAGGCAAAGCTGATCATGTATAGAGGAAAATGTGTTGTCATCAACCCATGTGAGAATGATGTCAATAGAGAGAAAACAACACAAGAGGATAAAATTACTGAAAGAATCTGCACGTGTTAGACTTTGACAACGTCCTCAGTAGACTTATCATAGAAATGAACAACTTGATTTAAAATAGGTTTTATTTAAAATAGATCTGAAATATTATTTGCCTTTTTATTTGTTCTTTAAGTATTCTTTTATTTATTTTTTTAAATTGATGAAGCAGTTTAGCACTTAATTTTGTGAATTACTTATTTTTATAAATAACTACATTTAGACTTTTGCTGTATTAAATTAAACAGGAAAATCAAAACATTAATATTTTAAGAGAAGAATAATCAAGATAAAATTGAGCAACTCTTTTTATATGTAAGAATTAGAAAATTTAGTAACAAAATCAATCAAGTCTTTTTAGGTATAATTTTATAAAATAATGAAACTAAATGTAAGTGAAATTTTTTTTTCACTTATTTAAATTTTCTATATCATATCAACTTTTTGCAGGTTATTTAAAGCCATAAAATACTTTCAGATTATAAGAACTTATTTACAGGGGAGGAAAGATAATAATAATTTAAGTGTAGTGATACAAATTTTGCTAATTTAAATGAACTCATTCATATTTTTCCAAAGTTATTTGTGTGTAAGTGAATATAACAATCCCAACTGAAAATGGAACTCAGCTCTCTGATTGAAAATTCTGAGCTATTTTTTATTTTTTTTAATCATTTCACGCCAAGTGAGGCAGGAAAGCCACTAGTATGAATGGGGTTACAGAGAGTGTAAATAAGAGAAAAGATTGGGTATAGTGGTGGGGGATTGAGGAAAGGATAAAAGATGAACAGGGTTCAAGTCAACAGAAGATGGCAGTTAATGTTGCATTTAAATTTTTGAAGATTGTAGTTATCAGGGAAGCAAGTAAGTGGAAGGGAGTTTATCTGTCAGGAAGTGTGAGAAGTGTAAGAAAAGAAACTGTTGGAGTAAAAGTGGTGGTTACATTTAACTATTTCAACAGTAAAAGGGTGGGACCTAGATACCAATTTAGTAGCATGCCTAAAATTAATATAGCTTGTCAGAGCAGTTACCATGAAAATATATTTTACTTTTGCATGAAAGACATTTTTGTTATTATTGGCTTGGTGTTTTCATTTTCTTTTTTTACTTTGTTTTACAAATACCACACCACACAGTTTCCAGAAAATTGCAATAATTATTACCACAAACCTGGCTATTTTTTTACAGAATAATATTGAATTTGTAATAATTAATACCACAAAACTGGCTATTTTTGTTACAGAGTAATATTGAATCTGTAGAAAAGACATGTCACATCTGTGAGAAAGTAACTGAAATCAAGTCAAGATCGATTGTATTGTAGGTCCTTCTTTGGATTTTGTCAAGAACTTTGAGATGAACAGCAGGGGTACCAGACTAGATATGGCATCAATGCTTAAGCCACCAACACATCCAATCCTATAGCACCTGGTATTCCTAAGCGTTCACCCATCTTAATACAGGCCAGGCTCAATGTTGCTTAACTTTGGGGGTCATGTGGGAACTGATGTTTCAGTGTTTTACTTTTACATGAAAGACATTTTTGGTATTATTGGCTTGGTGTTTTCCTTTTCTTTTTTTTACTTTGTTTTACAAATACCAGACCACACAGTTTCCAGAAAACTGCAATAATTATTACCACAAAACTGGCTATTCTTTTTACAGAGTAATATTGAATCTGGTGGGATTCGTAGTTCCTTTGCAACACTGACTTTTTGCAAAAAATAAAAAATATTTGTCACACTTTTTTTTCTTTGTTCTTTAATAAATTTTTAGGGTAATTTGCTTTTTTAGCCCCGCGCTAAATATCTATTAAAAAATTTTCAAATCGTTATATTTCCATGTAAATTTACATGCTAAACTCGAAAATAACAATTAAATTTTGATAAAATCTACTCTTTTGGAGTTATCGACAATAAAATGTCGGACTCAGTCGCGTTCAGCCATTTGCCTTGTTTAACTACATTCATTGCGGGCATTTTGTGTGCGGAAGATTAATTCAGCCTTTTTACTGCTCTTGCCTGATCTAACACGCCTAAATTACTGCGCACTTACCATGAAAATATATTTTACTTTTGCATGAAAGACATTTTTGTTATTATTGGCTTGGTGTTTTCATTTTCTTTTTTTACTTTGTTTTGTGTCGAAAAGCAATGACAAGTGTTTTTTTAATAGTAAAGCTTTCTTTTTAAATTAAAAAAAAAAAACAAATTAAATAATAAAATAAAGCTTTTTTTAATTAAAAATAAAGCAAATAATAATTAATGCGCAAACTTTGCACGAACTTTGAAAAGAGCATGATTATTTACAAAATAAAAATTGCTCCTTCCTAGCATTTTTTATTTTGTAAACAAAGTTCGCTCAAAGTTTGCGCATTAATTATTATTTCGTTTCTAGCATTTTTTTTATTTTGTAATTTTATTTTGTAGATAATCATACTCTTTACAAAGTTCGCGCCCGCACGGACTTTTATTGTCGATAACTCCAAAATGGTAGATTTTATCAAAATTTCTTTGTTATTTTCGAATTAAGCATGCAAATTTACACCTAACGATTCCAGAAATTTTTATTAGATACTTAGCGCGGGGCTTAAAAAGCAAATTACTCAATTTTTATTATGATTTCATTTAAAAAGAAAAACTTGTGAAAAATCTTATGAAAATTATTTGCGTCCATAGAAACGGGGAATTTGGTTTGTTGATTGAATAATTGTAAAAAAAAAAATCGATTGGAATTTTATTTTAACATAATTTTTTATTTTTATGCCAAGCATCATTCGGGCCACTGAGAAATCTACTAAAATTTTTATTCGAAAGATTTATTTGAAGTAATTTTTTATATATCAATCCGTAGTTACTAGTTAAAAACATGAACTGAATTGTTTACATTTTAAATAAATTTAAAAAGATAGATGAAATCCTGGAAGAATTTTAAAATTTATTTATAAAAATGAAAATTTGAAATAACTAAAAACTAAAAAATAATAAATGCAATAAACTAAACTACTTTTTTTAGTCTTTATTAATTAATTTTAAAAAATATTAATATATTTTTTTAACGACATAAATAAAATATCTAACTTTTTAATTTTATTTTAATTTAATTAAATTAAAAAAAAGATTTTCAAAGAATTTAATAATTTTAACAAATTAAAATCCTTTTTAATTTATATTTATTCAAAATACCTGAAATGTTTCTGCAAGAGATTCGTATTATTTTTAAATCCCATATGTGTTTGAGTGTCTTCTTAACTCTTATCATCTGAAAATTAAAAAAAATAACATTTATTTATTTACATTACATTTTTGCTTGTTAGACTATCCACGGATACAGTCTTTCATTTTTATTTATTGTTTTTATTTATATCTTATGCCTTATTCTGAAAACTGGATAATCGGAGTCGCTTTATATAGCATGGAACTTGTATCATAACGAAAAAAAACAACAACATTGAATTGTATAATATAACACCTTACGATACTATACTGTGGGAATGACGTCATGACAGAAGTCTATTTTCCCTCAGTAATTTGCAGTGAATATATATAGTTAATTCATTTGATAAGAAGATTTAGTTCCAAACGATTGGTAAAATCTATATCTAGTGGGAAAATATTTCACTTACTTTTAAATTTAATAATTTATATCCATACAATCAAGTAGAAAATGAAATTACAAATGTTATTAGACAAAGAATATTTACTGCTGCATGACTCAAATTCATGAGGGCTACTGTAAACATGGCAGATGTACGAAGTTATATGATCAACAAGGGTTACGAGGAATATAAAAATGCCAAGAATTTGAGTGAAGAAGAGTCTAAGAAGGACCCGGAAAATGATCCATTCAGATCTAAGTATAAAGCACGGGACATTTTATGTGCTATGCGCGAAGCTATCAGTGAACTTATTGCTGAAGGAGAAGATGAATTGCTGAAGAAATTTCTAGTAGCCGGACTTAACGTAAAACTTGCTGTCAATTATGTTGAAACAGAAGAATTAGGCATGGGTGAGGAACACCTCACCAAAGTCCTGAAGGATATTGAAGAATATAAATTAAACAAGGTTGCTTGTAACATTTATCAGGAGGCACTAAACAACTTGGGGATTCTATGGAGTCACCGTGGAGAGTTAGGGATGGATGAAGCTGTCAAATACCTTGAACAGTCAGAAGCTATTTATAACAATTTCAAACATGAAGTTGGGGGAGCTCCTTATTCCATGGAGGAACTTTTTAGACCAGAAGGTGAAGATAATGACCAAACTGAACACGACAGGAATTTTCACTTCGAAAATACATATACTCATTCCATGTTTTACCTTGCTCAGGCATATGCTGGCAAGGGAGACAAAGAGCTTTCAGCAAAATATTGCCATCAAACCCTTCTCCGTCAGTTAGAATCTGGTCAGTACAACCCTCTAGAATGGGCAGTAAATGCTGCCAGTTTGTCCCAGTATTATCTAACTGTGGAAGATTTTCAAATGTCTAGACATTGTTTAGCTAGTGCAAGTCATATTCTGCAAGAAGCCGTTTCCAAGCAGGCATGTAAACAACAAAATGAGTTGTCAAACGAAGACGAAAAAGACAACATTGCCCGCCGAAAGGCCGATATAAGCCGTTGTTGGGCTAAATACGGACTATCGCTTCTTGAATCTTCAAAAGAATTTTCTATTATGAATCTCATTGGACACTTAGATAGAACTGATCTAGTAAATAATGCCAATAGTAAATCATCCGAGGCTAATCACAATGCCGATAAAGACACAAATGAAGTGACTGAAAACGATGTAACAGAAACTACTGGGAACCTTGATAAAGACACTTCACGTTTTAAGTTAGAACTTACAGATATCGAAGAAAAAATACCGGCTAAATTCGTCAAAGACTTCTCAGAAGCTAGAGAAGTGTTTCTATCCGTGCAAAAATGGTTAAATGAAGCCAAAGAATATTATGTTATAGATTGTTTTTGCAACGATTACGTGGAAGTGTCCCAGGATCATAGTAAAGCCTACAAACTGTTAGCTTGCTTCGAAACCGATCAGGATCGCCAATGCAAAATGCATAAACGGCGAATAGATCTTTTAAACAAACTTCTCCAAGAATTAAACCCACAACATTACCTTCTTGTGTGTCGCCAGCTGATGTACGAACTTGCTGACACTTATACCAGCATGCTAGACATCAAACTAAATCACCATCAAGAATCTGGACAAGCTAGTACTCCCCATGCAGTAAAGAAAATCAATATGTTGGTGTCACAAAGCATCAAACATTATATGGATTATATAAACTCCTTGAAAGATGGTCGGCCGAAGCTGCCTTCTGAACTTGATGAATCTGACATACGTCCAACCTTGGTTGCATACTTTTGCATGGGAAACCTTTATTCTAAATTTATTTGCTCTGATACCGAGTTGAAAATTCAAAATGTGCGCAAAAGTTTAGAATGCTTTCAGTTTATTGTTGACTATTGCAAAAATGATCCCAGGGGTCCAACTGCCGTAGCTAACGAATTGCATATCTGCGAGGAAATGATTGAACTTTTACCTAGGAAAATACAACAAATTAGGATTGATCCAAATTTCTAAGTTAAAAATTAGAAATAAAATATGGTTACAAATCTTTAACCGTACATTTTTTTTAATTGACGATTGATTTTTTTTTAATTGACTTGCTCTCCATTTAAGAATGTTTTTTACAGTAATTTTCCAAGCGGAGCTTAGATGTTGCTTGCTATTCTCTGTTATTTAAGATGAGCTACTAAAAAAAAAAAAAAAAAAAAAAAAAAAGATTTATTTAAAAAAATTATTTTCATGGATTATAATTCATGAAAATAATTTTAAGTTAAATCTCTTTTTTTTTTTTTTAACTTTGTGATTGTACCCCAGATCATAGCCCATTATAAGCGGACCAACCATCACTCGTCTTGTTCAACTATTATCGTCTTAATTTCTCTTCTTTATTTTAATTATTTTCTTTTTCTTATATTGTATATCTTATCCTATATGACATTCAGTCACCCGTTGCGTATTAGTGGCGTTATTGTCTTGTTGGAGTGAAATGATTTTAAATAATTTATTTTCACAATAATGATCAATCTGACACCACCAAATATGTCGCTCTAACAATGACGAATTTATACTTAAAAGAAATAATAAAGATTTTTGTCCATTATCAGCCCTAATGAGCATGAAACGGAAAATTTGGAAAAGCTGATTTTACATTTTTTTACATTTTTTTTTTTTTTAATATTGCAAAAATTATTAAACAGACTGTAAAGAGCAGTAATTTAAAAAAAAATGCTTTCTGTGATGGCTTATTTATTGATCTATTTTTTATATTTTATTCTGACTAATTAAAGAAAAATGTTTGGATGATTCCTGGAAGTAACCTGTGTATCATTTTATAGCAGTTGGTAGAAGTTTGTGTACGTTTTATTATGATTTTGATTTTTCCTAAGTACTGAACGGTTTCATCTGTAACTGTTATTCCACATTTTTACCTAATCAACTTGATT